GTGGTAGTGGTAGTAGTGGTAGTAGTTGTTGTTGCAGTCGTGGTAGTAGTAGTAGTAGCAGTAGTAGTAGTAGTAGTAGTAGTAGTAGTAGTAGTGGTAGTAGTAGTAGTAGTAGTAGTAGTAGTAGCTGTTGTTGCTGTTGTTGTTGTTGTAGTTGTAGTAGTCGTGGTAGTAGTAGTAGTAGTAGTAGTAGTAGTAGTAGTAGTAGTAGTAATCGTCGTAGTAGTACTAGCAGTAGTACTGCGTAATTTAGAATAATTCCAAAACCCCAAAATAAGGCAATTTTAGCACTATACCCTATATAAACCACCATTAAGGTGAGGTCGGGTGAGGTCGCTCTGAATTGCCCTGGTAGTAGTAGTAGTAGTAGTAGTAGTAGTAGTAGTAGCAGTAGTAGTAGTAGTGGTAGTACTCGTACTCGTACTCGTACTCGTACTCGTACTCGTACTCGTACTCGTACTAGTAGTAACAGTAGCAGTAGTAGTAGAAGTAGAAGTAGAAGTAGAAGTAGAAGTAGAAGTAGAAGTAGGAGTAGGAGTAGAAGTAGTAGTAGTAGTAGTAGTAGTAGTAGTTGTTGTTGTATTATAGTAGTAGTAGTAGTAGTAGTAGTAGTAGTAGTAGTGGCAGTAGTAGTAGTAGTAGTAGTAGTAGTAGTAGTAGTGGCGGCAGTAGCAGTAGCAGTAGCAGTAGCAGTAGTAGTAGTAGTAGTAGTAGCAGCAGTAGTAGCAGCAGCAGGAGCAGTAGGAGCAGCAATAGCAGTAGCAGTAGCAGTCAGTAGCATCGCCTGCACCATCACCATCACCATCTCCATCACGACTATCACCATCACCCTACCACTGACGCAGTCTGGCTGTTGCGGCAGGTTGTCGCCAGCAGTATTGATGTACCTACACCCAAGATGTTCATTCAATGTTCGCCCGGCCTGCGACGGAGGTGGACTCCGGCTGTGCTCCGGCGACGAACCCTTCGGAGGGGTGAAACCCTCCGAAGCCAGAGCAGCGGACCGGCTGAAAGAGCCCTGGGCATCAGCTGCAGTTCCGGACAACATCTACGCAGCCGACCTACAGTACATCGTTCTGGCTTGATAGTTTTGGCATGTCTTGTCTACAAGGACTAAGCCGACATTGGTGATACTTCGTCCGAGCTCCGTATTTTCACCCACTCACCACCCCTCCTGGATGCTGCAGCTAACAATCTAAGCAACATGCAGCACAGCACGATTTGCAAGCACCATCGGCCACCCAACACCAATTTGAGTGTCCGGTCATCCAAGCATGGAAGCTAGATTAACTAGAACATTTCATCATCATCATCATCATCATCATCACCATCATCATCACCATCATCATCATCGTCACATGCATATATATATATATATAGAAAACATTAGACTGAGAAATCAGCAATGCAACGGCATGAACACCATGAACGTACGAAGATACGCCCAGTGCCGAGTACGAATGCTTCCTCTGCGTCCCACTCTGCCCTGACGAGTTTGACCAGTTCTCCTTTGAGTGACATTCGTACTCAGACGTCGATCAGCGGTGGTGACTAGGGCCTTTGCAAATTTCAGGACTGGCGGCGTTCTACTACTACAGCTTATGCTCTCGCTACTCGGTACTACTGTTTGTGGTCTTCCTCGTCTTCCTGTTTGTGTGTTAAATATCCTCAGAGCCGCACAGCCCTAGGTTTTCGAGCCCGAAAAGCCGCCGGGTGGGCCTCACTGGGCGAAGCTGGGTCCACCGAAGCTGGAGCTGGAGAGTCCTCCGTTGACAAAGACTCTTGGCGACGCCCTCCTGTTATAGTAGAAGGACTTCAAATCGGAGCTGGTAAGTGTCACTTGCGCAAGGAACAGAAAAACGATGATGAGTTCACTGTTGCGGGCAAACTGCGGAAACATCGGTATGCTGGTCAAAGTGCTACGAGACTATCCTGCTGGTGATGCAGTAGCGATGGCGTCGGTGGGTGTGGGCGTGCAACTGCTGCGACACCACCACCACCACCACCACCACCACCAACAACAACAACAACAACAACAACCACAACAACCACAAAAATTGCACCAGCTCGCATGAAATGCACGAGCCGTGAATCATCAAGCTTGGCAAGTTGCGCCTGCCAAACACCAACTTCTCCACACGTCCCCCTTACCTTTCACCACCGCATCTCCTGAGACTGATCAGCCGGAGGAGGATGCTGCTCTTCCGGCAAAGATGGCAAAGACTCCTCCCAACAGCGAGCTGAGGCATGGAGGCTAGGCGGATGCTCCACTTGGCGCCTGAAGATACAATGGCAAGATTTGCCTCACAGCCAGGGCCGAAGGAGCACCATGGACCTTTCCTCAAGCGTCGAACGAGTCGAACATTTTCGACCTGACGCCCTGTACCGGTCACGAAAGCCATGTCAAGCCGACTATTTCGACATCCGTTCCCTCTGTGATCGGCACATCCCTGTCAGCATTCAGGAAGGCTGAGAGTACATTCCCGCTCCTGCTGCGGTCGTGGCGAAGGTGATGCTTCCGACGGCGTCCTCGGCGAGGGCATAGGCTCCTGGCGGATGTACGTGCAGCCCCACGTAGACACACGTCGGGTCGACATGTAGTACAATCTAAAATGCACTATTGACTATGACGACTTGCCCCATGCCATGAATCTGCCTGCGAGACACCATCCAGATTTCGAACTGGCATCGTTCCCCTGTCCTGCACCTCTGGCGGCTCTCCCGACCGCAGAGGCAGTGCTAAGCCCGTCTGCGGCTGCGGCTGTGGCAACGGGCGCGGCAAATTTGCAGCCGGCTGGAGCTTCGAGGACGAAGCTTCAGCGGTTTCGCCTATCCGCCGCGATGGAGGTTTGAAGCTGTGGGTGATGCTGTCCCAGAAGTACCGCCTCTTGTACCTGAGACGATAACTCGGACAGAAGTCGCATGACCGACTTTCGTTTGCTTTGATTCATAGACTGGCCGCTCATCCAGCACCTCCCTCGAGTTGGTCGTTGTCTGCATGAGTACGGCCATCTGGAGTGCATGCTCCTGCCCAGGCACTCCGGCATTTAGGTGCTAACTGCCTTGGACCTGCCAGGCTTGCGATGGCAAAATGCCCGCACACAAGGCAAAAAAAACAAAGCTACTCACTACAGGGTTCCACCGGGACAGGGGCTGTACACCTGAAACTTGAGTGGACCTGCTGAGCGCAAGGCCGTGTGGTTTTGATCGGCGGTTGCATCGAGCAGCAGTCCTTGTTCTCTTTCTTGGAGTCCTCCAACCTGTCCAAGAACATGTTGCGCCTCGCTAGCATCTTCTCCTCGGATAGTGCTGTACTGGCAGGACTCCATGGCCAGATGCTTCCGCCCACCGTACGCTAAAGCGCATGCCCTCCGAGTGTCCAAACTGAACTGGCAATCATTGACCAGCCGGATGTATGCAGCTTGCGCAGCCAAACCCCAGGACTGCACCAACGTATCATCTGGCGGATTTCCTGCAACTCGATGGTGGCACGAAGCGTGCATTCGTGTGTTGACAGGTGGCTAGCATCGTGCCTGTTACCGGGAAGCAACAATCGGCTTCAGCTTCAGCTGGACAGCATCAAAGCACGAAGCGACGCCGGTCAGCTTACCCACCAACAGCTGCATGCGTCGCAAACCCCTACTTGTACTAGTAGGGGACAGCTGGGGCAGCTACCAGTTCGGCCCTGGCTTTGTCCGGGGGGAGGATAGCGTGACGATGGGCTTGGCAACTCCGGGCTAGAGCCTTGTACAGGAAAGGGTGCCTCCAATCCCAGTCAGAAAGGCGACTGTTCTGCGAATCTACAAGAAATATGGAAGTCTCGCCTGGAAGCATAGTGGGTTGGCAGGACAGAAGCTGTGTCAGGGTGTCGATGAGGAAGGTGTTGCGGCTTTTCCTGGTCAAGTCTGGACCAGGCATGTCAAGCCCCAAGCCTGGATTGAGTTGAAAGCAAGGGAAGATCTAGAACAGGGCAGACTCTGGGCCAAGGCAGGTCCAAGCTTCGCGTCCTCAGCATACCTGAGTGGCAAAGCTTTGCAGCCCTCGACTGGGCATCTGGTCGCCGGGGGGCTCCGCTGAAGAGTGGGGGTTGCTGCGTGCTTGAAGCTTCGGGCGTTCTTGTCCAACTACCAGCTTTGGCTCAACCAATAACTTCACTACAGCAGCAAACACGTTCAGATGATCCCACAAATACGGATTGGAATCTTGCCTCAGCAGTCTTGTAATTTTTACCATTTTGACATCCTTTCACGTCGATGCAGCGAAGGCACAGTACCATAAGCTCCAAACACGCCTCGCCCAGCTGAGAACCGCTCAGGCAAGTGGCAGGTGTGCGCTTGAGGTAGCGAACTGAGATCTTCATCGCCACCATCATCATCATCAGCATCATCCTGCTCCCAAAACTATAGCAACCACCACTAGCATCGGCGTGGGTGTCCTCTACACCTTGACCGACCATCTGCAATGTATTCTACACGTTCCATGTGCTACAAGTATATACATACACTTGCAGATGTGCGTCTGTACAAGTTACACAGAACATGTACGTGTATATATCTATATGTGTGTAAGTACCTACTGTTTACATAGACATGTGTTTATATCTAAACATATTATATATATATATATATGTATATATGTATATAGATAGGTATTAGGTATACCCATCCATCCTTCCTTCTTTGTAGCCATCCATACATACATTCATGTACATGCAAACCATACCTACATACCTACCTACCTGTCACACTATGGGGTGCTTGCATTGGGGGGAACCTCTTTTGTTGGTGGGGCTTGTGGTGGAGACGCTGCCAGGTGGTAGGGGTCGCAGTAGTAATGACCGTAGCCGAAAATGTAATCCTAGTGGTAATATCACTAGGGGAGCCAAAAAGCCTTTCTATTGGGCCCTCACAGCAGCCTTTTGTAACTGTAGTATTGTATATTGCAAAAAGTCATAGCAACAGCAGCAGTGAGAATAATGATACAAATAATAATAAGATTCGTAATACGAAAAGCAAAACACCAGTAGCAGCAGCAACACTAGTCATCGTAAGAACGTTGACGATAGTATAAACAATCGTATTAAGAGCGATCGAGATCAAATATCGCACTTGAAGTCGCAACGGTGACAGTAACCAGTAACAGTAACAGGAACAGTCAAGGTGATTTAGCGATTTAGTCCAGAACAAGAGACTTCTGGCTATACTGCAATTGGCGAACTGCTGCAATACTGACCGATGCAACCAGTGGTAGTGGTAGTGGCGGTCGTAGTCGTAGCAGTAGCAGCAACAGCAGAAGTATGAGCAGTAACAGTGATAGCGACAGCGACACGAAAAAATGTAGCAGTAGCAACAGCGACCGGATTTGTACTTATTGTGGCCGCAGTAACAGTAACAGTTATCCTACCAGTAAAAGAGGCAAGCATAGAAAGAATAGGACCTAAACCATGATATTAATAGCCGGCGGTTGTGAACTAGATCATAATAATAAGAACGACAAGCTCGCAGCCAAAAGCTATTCAGCGAAAAGCCGAGGCCATGGCCGAGAAGCCGAATGACTCTCTATAGATACAGATGTATTAAGCCAGAAGCCGATAGGCCAAAAATCAAGAAGCCAAAATCCTAGGTGCCAAAGCCTAGAATCCTTGAATCCAAAAGCCACAAACCGAAGACCAGGGAGCCAGGAAGCCAAGAAGCCAAGAAACCAAAAGCCACCCCCCTCACCAAAAAAAACAAGATAACGAAAAACAAGAAACCATAATAAGCATGTGAAAAAAAAACAGACCTCCCTCACCGCCCTGCCTACATACCTACTTAGTTACATGAGCCGCTGCGTTTATTCAATGCTTAGGCTACTTGCGGTATCTCGAAGCGATGCCCCTATCTCGTTTCATCATATAAAGTACTTTCAAGCATCGTTAGTAGCAGCTCTGATCATAAATGCGCCTGATCTCGTTTTGTGCGGTGCCCCTATCTCGTTCCCCTCTTAGAGCGAGTTCGGAAAAAACGCAAGGAGCTATCTCGTTTCAATTGAGCATAGTATTGACACAAATAAAAGCCGTCGCTCACATACATACCGGCATGCATATCTATGCCCACCTACCATAAGTCATACATACATACATACATACATACATACATACATACATACATGAATACATACATATGATGTTGGATTGATTGGTTAATTGATTGACTGACTGACTGACTGGATGAATGAATGGATGAACGAATGAATGAGTCAGTGGTTGATTGGTTGATTGGTTCATTGGCTGGTTGGTTGGCTGGTTGGCTGATTGATTGCTTGATGGCTTTCCAAGAATCAGGGCTCCTCATTAAACCTGTCCCTCAGTTTCGGCGACCCGTACATGCAGGACTCCTGTATATCTGCATCGAGGATATAATTGAGTCTTACTGCCGCCACTTGTCTAGTTTGCAGCCTGCAGCTGTGGGATTTCTGGAACCCCATACGCGGCCTTACTCATTCAATGTACACTCAAATCCTCCGGTCATATGATTCGATTCGGGAGCCCGCCTTCAGCGCCTCCTCCTCCTTTGCTTGTTGAGCCTGGTGCGCACGAAGCTCCTTCGAAGGTCGTTTCGAGGCAGCCAGCCACAGGAATTCTTTGGTGGAGAAGGAGCGACACAACACCCATGTCGAAAAGATTCTTCGTCAGACTGCCCGACAGTCATTCCCAGAGCCCTCAGAAAAGTTCCAGTCTACAGCACCGACAAGGCTGCCTCGAACTGATCCAACTGGTCTTGAATCTGCATGCCTCGGACCGCAGGAGACCGGTTCCGGCTGCGAGCGAAAAAGGAGTCTTACTCAACCGGTAGGTCGCAAGCCCGAAATGACAGCCGTGCTGGAACAGCCACACACGCTCTCGGCAGTAAGGATGACAAACCGCGGGACAACGGGTGCGCAGCACACAAGGTGACCTTCTTGCGAATCCGCGAAAACCAATCCATCCAACCATTAGCAGGGTGCGGTGGTTCATGGCCTTTGCATCTTCTTCGCGAAAGAACGTCATCACGTTTGACAGGAAACTGTCCTCGTTGGCCTTTCGAACAAGGTTGCGCAGGCGGCAGTGGCATCTTTCTTTGGCTGGGTTCTTGCTAAATGGTCTCACTGGAACCTGTACTGCAGAGATCCCCGGGATAGCAACTTCCGGGAATGCAAACCAACGCAGAACTGAAAGAATCCCCTCTCCCGTCGAAACCTTCTTGTCCACGAGCTGGCGATGCAAGGCCCCACACTGTGCTCGGAGGCGTTGCTTCCGTGCATCTGCAGAGCCCTCGATGAGGCTTCGGATCCGGAAGGGAGATCGACACAGCAGCGAGGCCACTTGTTTAAATGTTGGCTCGTTTAAGCCTTAAGCTTCAGTTTAAGCTTTGGGATGTACGATCTGGGTGATCTGGCGACAAGCCTATCTCTGGTGCAGCATTTGTGGTTGAAGAAATTGACCTTGCCCGAGACAATTAGCATTATTATCATAATGCGAGCAGAGACGAGGTGAACACTTCCTCCACCCCAAGCAACGCCCCAAAGAGACCGAGTTGCTGCTGCTGCGCTCCCACCGCTCGCAGCTTCCAGTTGGGTTATCGCAGGCCGGACAACAGCTGACTCCACACCTGTCAGGGGCCCGTTCAGCTCCAGCGAGGTTGCGGCCGTACAGCCCTTTCAACTACAGATTTGGGACTCCTGCATGATAACACGCGCTTCAGCACGTCATACCGGCATCTTCCGGACCGGACCGAGGCGCCTTTCAAGGCCTTGGAAAGGTGCTCGGCAGGGAACAGCTCCCCAGAGGCTCGCACAAGCCTTGGAAACAGGAGCATGGGAACAGGCCATCAAAAAAATCGAACATCGACGAAAGCACATGGAGACTGGCACTTACTTCGTCTTCAGACCAAATCGGGCAACGTATGCTGGTATGCCCAAACCCTTCATCCTCTAAGGCCTGGCCCATGCCAGGCCACGAAGCCTGCAGACCCCACCCTCCCTATATGTGCAAACAGACGAAGGCTGAGAAGCTGGTGCCAACACCAATACAACCAAGTCAAACACGCTCAAGGCCGGGAGCTGACAGAAAAATGGCCTGACCTTACTAAGCTTGGAAACAAAGATGAGATGTCAACCCCAACTGCCAACGGCACGCTTCAACAATTCGTGCTAAGAGGCCGCAGCTTAGGCCCGACCCCGTTTTGTCGACCGCCCTGCGACAGACTCACCCCTTCCACAGCAGTCCCGCGGCTTTGTTGCAGTCTTGCGGAGGGTGGCGACCTCACCATCCTCGACACTCCCATCGTCCATCTTTGCAGACCTTGCAGAAACCGATTGAAAAGGCCACTCACAGCACACTCAGCTAAAGGTCTGTTCTCCAAGTCGTGCATCGTGTGGGCAACGTACCACAGGACGTTGTGAGTTCAACCTAAAAACTTTACACTTCCCCGCATGCCTTGCCTGCAAACGGTGTCGGATCCGATGCTAAACCCTGAGAGCTTCTACGGTTTAGGTACTGTTTAGGTGTTTTTTGTTTGAGCTTTAGGTCAGAGAGGAAGCATCCGATCTTGAGGCATAGCACGTTTTAGGGTTTCAGGGTATAGGGTGTGGAGTTTAGGGTTTGGCTGAGTGTAGCATCTGTCAGTCCTAAGAATTGTTTGTTAACGAGTTTTGTTGGGTTTCTATCGGGGGTTTTGCAAGTGTGTTGGAAATGTGCTGTAGGACTTTACGCCCTTACCCCAACCCTAGTGCTCGTGAAGTGCGATCTCCGAGCGGCAGCGGGGTGTCCTATCGCCGGCATCTGCGGTCGGGCGCCATTGGAATGGCCAGCCGTTCAGTTGAAGTAGCCCCGTGCTGGACAAAGGCAAAGCCCAACTTAAGCACTTGTAACGTTCCAGTCAGTACAGGACCAGCGGGCCGTCTACCGAAAATGGCCGCCTCTTCAGAGTTAGTGGCTTGGTGAATCGAGGAGTGGAGCCAGGCTGCACTTCTTGGCTTCTAGGGGTCCGGGCTGATTCTCGGTTACCACGGCTGACATCGCACACATCGATCGTCGAAAAGCTGCACGAGTGCAAGCCCCGAAAAACAAGAACGGCCAAGCGGGAAACTACACAGCTTGAGCCGCGACGGTGTTGCGAGCGGCTTTGCAAAGCATGCTGTCAGGAAGCAGCTTCTGGAAATATGATAAAAAGGAAGACAAACACTGCCGGAAGTACTGAGTTCTCTAGGACATCGCCGAAAGCCTCCCCCATGCAGAAATGCCAGGACGCCTGGAGGGAGACCCTTGCAGCTGTATGCAGCTGTGCGGCATGCGCGTTAGCTGGCAAGCGTCGCGTCGGACAGGGCCTTAAAGGCAAAGAGAGCGGCGCCAGGAGTGGACCCCGACAACAAAGACCAAGCTTACTGTGCTAATGCCACCGCTCGTACTCCTACTGCTACTGTACTTACGTACTTCGGTGAGCAGTAGCTGGCCTTTTCGGGAATGTGTCTTTCAGCTTCACGGACACACAAACCAAGTCATTCAGGCCCAGAATCTAAACTTCTGCTTGAAGAACATTTGGTCGAGAAGTTCTGCGAAGAACTTTGTCCTGACATGGCTGGGGGACAGTCGGCCTCGAGGATGGGCGACTTCTGCGAAGTGCCACATGGGTTGCCCGAGAGCCAACCGGCCTGTCCAATGCATCTCCTTCCATCAACGGGTCGGCAGGCTCCGACTTTCTGCACTCCTGATCAAAGTCAGACATTGCTGTTCACATTTTTGGTCACAGACATCGTGCGTCAAGGCAAGCACAACTCTTGTCAAAGCCAAGAGTCACGAGCGAATCGCTGTGGTTCTCTGTGCACCTCCGCGAAACACTTTGACTCTGTTGCAGTGGTTTGGCCTTTGGGGTTGGGCCCCTCTGCATGAGGAGCAGGAGCGGACATCTGAAACTGACAGAAGCTCGAACTTGTGCGCGTGTTTGACTATGTACATCAATATTTACGGTGCTGTACTGGTGCCTTTTTGATCAGCAAAGACCAAGATGCTAGCTGCTTGGTGTTCTTCTTCCGTCAGTTGTGCCTTGCTGGTGCTCCAAATTGTGCTTCTAATACGGTCCTGGCGGCCATGCGCGGCTTTCAACGTATCGCTGCTCCTTTGTGAATCTATTTGCCTGGTGCTCGCAGTTGAGGTCCATTCGTGTTTTCGTCTTGAGCCATGATTTGCGATGCAAGTTAAATCGGACCATAGACCCTTTCAATTGTGATTTGGGGGTGCTGGGCTTGACCATTTACTGGCACACTGGTTCGTAGCTGTTGCGTCGTCGAAGAAGAACCGGACCGATCAACCGACTTCTACAGACCGGGCTGCATAGCTGACAATGTCCCGTGCAGGCCAAATTGCCCTCTCAAGACAAGCAACAGCACGAAGTCACATTGAACAATGACCTTGTCGGAGGGCGGCAGTGGTTTGACGATGGCATACCTAGGTCTGCCACATGGTGACAGCTCCGATCGAAATTCGCAGCCGCATGTTGACATCCATCGCCTACCAACGGCCACTCAAGCCAGCCTCCGCTGCCCATCCACTTTTTCCAGCTCTTTCGGCTCCTTCTCCTTTTCGTGAAGTTGATCCGTCCTCGGAGAGTACAGCAGCACCGCAGGCCCAACATGCAATGCTGCCTACTTGCTCCAAACAGATTCCAGCCACAAACCACACTTGGACCTGGATCCCCAAAACCGTCGCCAGGCTGCCAGCAGGGCATCTTCTGGGTCAGCTCCACAACTCGAAAAGCCCCAAGAAGAACAAATCGCAAGGCTCCAATCAGCGTTTTCGGTCGGTTGTGAGACGAAGACTTAACTTGGACTGGGTTGTCAAACGCAAGTCCCGGCCGTTGCATGGGTCCCATTGGCATATCTATGTTTTGAGTCTAGTTTCAGCAGACGTACTTGTCGAACCTCACTGTACTGACGGTATTCTTTGCAAGTGCCCCCAAGTCCCGGAAAGATCGTGAGACAGCGAAGTGACTACAGAGACTGATTCCACATAGTGCACGCGAACCAGATCTAAAGTAGCCCAACACCCAGGCGTTGGGTAGACACTTGCTGAGACCGGGTCCGTGCTTTCTCGCTCTCGAAGTATGCCTGGCTGCCAGGCTGACACCCAGAGAAGCAACAGGGCACATGAACCGTCAACCTGCGCAGTTGGAGCTGTGTGCCCATCTGCAAATGATTATCTGGCGACCTGGTGCAACTGCGCTACACTCTGCTAGCTAGGCATAGCGGTGACACAAAACAGACGAAGTTCGTGGAGGCTCTGGCTTGCGCGACCTGCACTCTCAGTAGCTCGGAGCCGGGCAGAGCTATCACTAATGCCACGGTCGGCAATGAGCTTTCCGGTTTGGGAAAGACAAACTCGCTACACAAAGCTTTACTTTTGTCAGTTCCCTTCAGTTTCACCTGAACAGCATCCTCGGGCAGCAGCGGCTGGTCTGCCAAGCCAAAGTGGAAGAGATCACGAGGCGCCCCTTAGCAACTCCGATGCTGCTTGTTCATGTCTGGAACGCTTCAAACTCTGTGATAACCAGACGATCTCTTTCGCCTTATCCGAGTAATCTATCTGCCCTTTCATCATTATGCTGACTTAAGCCTTGAAGCAATGGGGTGCCGAGCAACTTTCGCCCCCCTCCCGCTTCCGCGGCGGCGAAGGCGACAGCTTCCGCGGGCTCCGCTCCTGGGATCTCATGAATGGAAGCGTCCGCATGGTGTGCAAAAGCGCTGTTCCGAAGAATGCGATTTTTGATGCAACTCGATCTAGAAATCTCCCGAAAGCAATGCTGGGCAGTGTTCGAACACAAAGCCTCGCAACACAGAGCTGAGGCCCAAACCACGCCCGTGCCGCGGAGGCTCTCAGAAAACAGGTCCTGGGGGTCGAAGCTTTCGAGACTTTGGCAGACACCGACTGCCACGCAAAGGAACATCTTCGCAGATGCGCTTTTCTAAACTAAACTCCGATCGCTGGCTAATTCACTCACATGATTTTCACCGATTGCAACCGCAATTTCCAAGCCCTACAGGCTGCGCTTGGGGCAACTAGCTGTTGCACTTGCTTCCCTGGCCGTCCCATGGGTTTGTCGTGCTGGAGAATCCCGCCGAACCTGCGGAGCTCAGCATCGGGCACTGCCGCACAAATTTAACCTTTCAACCGGTTGACACCATGCCGTGACGCCTACTGGGCCGAGAACGACTTTAACTTTCCGCTCCTCATCGAACAGACATCGGGCTCCCCGGAGCACCGACCGGGCCTCGTCGAGATCTGCCCTTCTTGAGGCTTTTCTTTGGCTCGGGGGCACCTTGTCAAAGCTGGAAATCTGAGCATAGACACCCTTAGCCTAGCTGCACCGGACGAACCTGGGCATGAAAATAACTTACCGTACACATCGCGAGCATCTAGTGCCTCTAAGCGCATCTATGCTCAACTAGGTCATGGCACAACACGACCGTGTTGTGTTGTATCTGCTCTGCTGTCCACCAGTGCCAGAAACCTGCAACACTCCAACACCCATAAAGAGAACAAACCGTGCCTGTTGGTGGGACATGGTGGGACCATAAATGATCTCGAAGAGTGCTCTTCGACTGGGGCAGAAAGCAGAACTTTTCCAAACCAGGATTGTTGTGTCCTTGCGTACTCGCGTAATGACCGCTCCGTTGGCCGCTTCGACTTGGTTTTGGGTCCCCAACGTTTACAGTAGAAACATTCTTCAACGAGTTTGCCGGAGCAGCCAAGATGACACCGAACCGGCAGCCCTCATTCGTATACTATTTTGGGGGCTCCTTCTTATAATTATAGTATAATGGGCCCCAAAACCCTATTCTAACTATTAAGGCCCCTAAGATAGAACCCTATCGTAGACCGTAAGCCGATGCGGCCTGGTCGAAACCAAGGCAACGGCGCAGTCAAGCTGGCGATGGCCTGCAGGATTTCGGAAAACCTCTGTTGGCTTCAGTGTGCCCTTAACATGCATCGCAGGAAACCCAGAATTCCCCTTTCGAAGAAGACGCGGATGCGCAGTGTCAGTTGTTCAAGGAAAAGGTACGATGCCTCTTGACTAATTTCAGTTGCATTTTGCGCTCTTCGGCGTCGAGCCCTCTCTGCCGAGTATGCTGCTAGCATGCTGAGTCTGTCACTTCATGACGCGGTCCGGTCACTCTGCTCGTCCAGTTTCTGTCCCATACTGTGATCATTCTACCATTGCAGACTGTTATAGACTGTTGCTCTTGATGAATCTGCTGTGACGCTAGATCCTTGCATGACTGTTTGCCACCGACTGGTCCTGTTGAACGACCTAAAGCGACCAGCATGTTTCCTGCCTGGCAGTCGCCACGGCTAGGTGGTTGATCTGCCGCGGGGCGGTCTGTAGACCAAGTTTGCCTGAGGACTTCTGGGATGCAAGGGAAACTCGTTGCAAGGAGTGCTGGGCATACAGAATGACCAGTATGTCTCATTTGGTTGGTATCAACACAATGTGTTGATACAAACGAAACGAAAAAAAGAAAGGCTGTGATGTGAGCATATACGAAAAACCTTCAGCGTAATAAGATGCATGGCCCCGAATATATGGTCAATGCGCAAGGTTTAAAGTTTAGAGTCTAGACTGAGGTTCGTAGTTTCACGGGTTCCTTCACTCCTTGTTGGTTTCAGGATCCCTCCGGAAGAACGCAGAAAAAACACACCTCACATGACAAGAAACAAAACGCTCGCAGCCTGAGCAATGAACCGAATCGAGGAGTACGGCAAGGAAGGATAATCCTACTACTGTAATGAGCCTGATAAAGCATGAGCACGAGTGAGATTAACTAACCAGGCCATTAGCATGAATGTCATTGCATTGTGTCAGAAGCCCCACTCGCAACATTATCAACACTCGCCTGCCCTCCGCAAGGCGTGCCGAGGAGATCTCAATGTGGGTCAGCCGCATGCGGCCTCAGGCCGTTAGAACAGGCGACAACTCTCAGACAGCATGACGACCGGAAAGCACGTGCAACATCTCACCAGCACGTCAGAGGTAGGTGCTACTTGCCATCCTCCCATCTAAGGCAAGGCACTACTTGAGCTAGCAGCTAGCAAGACCGGCCGCAATCATGAAAAGAATACGTCAGAAGCAATTTGAGAATCCAGACAGAAGTAGCACCGGTCACAAGTCCAGGCAGTGGCCATAGTAACAGCGAATATCAACTACGACTATAAGCAGCCGTGCCAAAACACCATGAAATAAGCCTCAACACGTAATTGCACTGTGCTTGGCGGATAAGAGCCCGAGCATATGAAAGCTTCTGGGAAAGAAATTTTATGTGTTGACATCAGAGAAACCAGAGTACCCGACACCAAACGCTTGCAGATTCTCATACGGACCACTATAGAGACAGAGCACCTTGTGATGTCATAGCGAGAACAGTATATGATGGCTTGGGTGGGAGCAAAATGCGCGACTCCGAGAATCTCAATGCAAAACAGAAACAAGCAACACAAGTAATACACAACAGCCGCCAGTCCCTAACCGGAACAAAACACAATGTGCAAAAAATACTGCTAGGCCACAACTCAATGTTATTGCGCGAATTGCCCCAACATTTATTCCATCTTGGTTTGCCCTTTTTTGAGTCAGTGGGTTTCTTACATCCAAGATACCCCAAGAAAAGCTGCAAATAGCCAGCGGTGCAAAGTAGCCACAGAAATGCCTCGCACAAAGAAGCAGAAGCCACGCGGCGCTGTGTCTCGGCCGCCGCAGTTGGCCCCAGGCCTTCGGCAGCAGTGGTCGCACCCTGAAGAAGAGGATCGAGACTGACCTCGATGCGACGGTTCATCATCCCGACCCTGTGAATTCAGCCCTGGACGCAGCACCTTCGAAAGTATAGGGCCTACATGCGGCACAGTAGGCCGATTCCTTGCCACTCCCTAAACTGAATTCGGAGGTCCGCTGTGAAAATCTTTCGGTTTCTTTTTGTGCGTTTATGCTAATTTGCTCCTCTGCATTGGCGTCTAGGCACTTTGGCTCTTCGACTTCGGGGCGTTCTGACTTCCCACTTGGTTTCACAGCATGTGCTGTAGGATATATGCACGCACAGATGCATGCATGAACGCATGAGTGTACCCATGTATCTGTGTATCCTTGCATCAATGTATCTACGTACTTGCTTACTTGCTTGCGTACCTACTGGCTTACGAGTATACCTGCTTGCCTCCTGACCTGCCTATTCATGTGCATATGTGGTGCTTTTTAAATGCCCTGCAACCTGCAGTAATGTCAAGTTTATTACGTTCTACTGTAGCGTGTCGTGCAATAGTTTACGACGTATGCTGCAAGTCAAGCTGCGCTCTTTTCAGCAAGTCAAGCTTGAATCAAAGATCAGCATCTCGGCATGTCGTCAAGAGGCCTACTATGACCCACAAGACCGGACATACAATCATCTGCGTGCAAATGGGGGGGGTGGGCTTTCTCAAGTTTCAGGTAGCGAACAGCTTACACCCCTTATTTTGCACGCTGCTGTGCTATCCTCGCACACTGCGGTGTCGGGAGCACGAGCGGGGCGCCACAGCAGTGCATTTCACAAGGAGAGCGACGTAGAAGGTTATGTGAGGGCACATAGGAGTACGACATCAAGAGGCCAACACGCAGCGCGAAGCGGACAGGTAGACAACCCAAGAAAACAAATCAAGATATATCCAAAAGACATTGAAAAGTCCTGGATCCATCGAAACCTGTACCAATACTGCAGGGGCCGCTCTAATCGAAAAAGGCTGGGGGGAGCACAGATTCCCGAAACGTGCGCCCGGTCTCTTAGCGAAGTCGCCAAACACCAAATGAGTACTCGACTTTGAACACACGGAAGCGCTATGACCGCTACGGACCCTCGCTCAAGCTCACCATCCTTGCGAAAACGGAATGGCAATAGCCCCACAGTAGCCCATCCCGACAGATCCCTTCATGCAGTCTCCAGCCAGGGCACCAGAGCGGGAAGCGTGTCAGCTTTGAAATTGTTGGGGTCTCTCCTCGGCTCAAAGGAAACAGAAAGCTCCAAAACCGACAGTCCACAAATGACTGGCAGAGCAGCCGCACTGTCGGCTTACGTCCGGAGCCTGTCTACGCATCGGTGCTCGTTGAAAAAATACTGACAAACCATTTCAACTGCCCGACCAGCGTCAGCCGTCGTTTCCTTAGCGCAAACATGCTCCTGTTTGCAGTGGAAGCCTAAATACAGCATGTCAATCCTGTGTCAGACTTCAGGAGTGGGTCCACAGTTGATTCCAAAGGCAAGGACTGGCAAATTGTCAGGCAGGCGGCACCCGCGGTCCAGAGGGCACTGCTGAGATTTGGCTGCGCTTGGCATCGGCTTGGCTCACAGAAAGGAGCCTCCCCGCAGGTGCAGGCTGGCTGCAGGCAATCGAGCTTTTTTGTACTGGCACTGGATGCTGCAGGGCCACGCATAGCTCGTCAAAGCAACTTGCTCGGCCAAGTATGTTCCAACCTTCGGGAAACTAAAGAGGGCAATGCCAGAAACTGGTAGAACAATCTTAGCCTCGATCTGAGCCTCCGGCCACTAAGCCATCACTCATGAGCCCTCAGGCCCTACCGGCGTGCTCCATCTTCGCGTGAAGGAGCTCCGGGATCACCAACGAGTATCAAGTGGCTTGGCAATGCCAGATTATGTCGCACCTCAGGCCTCAAACACAATTACCGGTACGAGTGTAAGGCTACGGCATCCCTACCTTGAGCCAGGACAGGACGCAACAGCTCATCACGTCGGTCACTCTAGCCACATCTGCCTTCGAAGCTTTGAATACCCTTCGGTCCTCTGATTACTGCTTCCAGCAGCAACATGAATTAGTGTCAGAAGGAGAGGTCTCACCTCTAGGTCCTCCATTTTTCGCACTCTGCTTCTACGGCACTTGCTTGCAACTGGGTTTGAACAGTCGTTCTACCGAGATCCTGACAGCGTCTGGCACGCTAGACTAGGAAACCAACACGCCGTGAATTCGCAGAAAAGACATGGAGCTTCGATGTAGAACACGGTGCTTCACAAAGAAACGCAGCAACGGTAACTCCTGTCGAGACAAAGCTTTAAACCTGCATGGGGCTTGGACCCCGAAACGACCAAGTCGAAAACCCTGCAAAAACGAATGTTGTGCAGTTCGCTGGGTGTTCTGAACGCTCTTATACCTTTCCCTGCGCCTTAACGTCTGAAGCCTGTCGGGTTGCCCCAAGCAGCCAAACCGGATCTGATTCATAGTTTAGGAAACACACACACACACAGCACGCGATTCTGCACGAGAACCCCACATCTAGCTTCAATTATCTTGAACCTCTGCAGCTTACGAGCCTCAAGCAGGTCTGCAGTCGTGCTTGGGACCTGTCATCGAGGACCTGGTCCTCCACAACTTTCTGCAAAGATATTACAGGAACTCCAGGCCGCTGACTTGAGTCGCTATCAGGATCTTGCCTGCTCCCGTCTTCGTGGGGAAAAGACGTATACGGAATAGCGATCACCCGGGCTCTATGCTGCCAAGCTCTCCTGGGTACAAGTGAAAGGCATTGCCGGGTGATCGGACCTGTTCGCTGAACACACATCCTGCCGCCTTCGATATTACCCCTCATTTCAACATGGTCTGCCATCGGCCTATCAAGCGGGTACGGCTCTGTTTCGAATGACACCTGATCTTTCTCGAACACCCCTGGAATTCTTCAAAGTGCTGCAGGTTGCGGAGAAAGCCCCTATGAGGCTTGATGTTAAACTGCATTGCGGAGAGATGCCCCTATGAGGCTAGAGTCAAACTCCGCAAATCTGAAACGAGCCACGGCAGTGCGTCACGCTTGGCACAAAGCTCAGCTGGAAAGCAGTCGTGAGATCAGGGTGACTGCGAAGCTCGGACTTGCGTTTGATTCAGGCCTTGGTTGCAACCTTGACATGCTTCAAAATGCCACCGGCCACCCCGACATCCTTTGGATAATCAATCACAAACAAGCGTCTGCCCAGAACGTGCGCATGCGGCTGTCGCGAAAGCTCGCCGTGACGGACATGTTAATTGTTGAACGGCGCGAGTCCAAGCCCGACAACCGCAGTTTCGACACTTCGCTCACCTGCTGGATGAAACTCATTTGCCCTAACTCCTGTGCAGCAAGCTAGGCAAAGGCTTCATCAGAACTGCCTGCTGCCTGCGGCACATGGTATGCCCCAGCATTGGCAGCGAGGTGAAGCAGCTGTAAGTGGCTGTGGGAAACCAACGAGTGCCCAAAGTGGGGTAAGGGTAAGGTTCGATCGTTGCAGGTGCTCCGCGCATGCAAGCAAAACACCAATAGGGCCCGCGACGAGTTCCCTTTGCTTGCATCATACCGCATCCTGGATATTCCTGGCGCCCTACGACTCTGCAAGCACCGTGTCGGCTTTCCATCAGCAGGAAAACAACTCGGCAAGGCGCCGAGTTCCGTGGCAGTGAACTAATTTATTCATCAGAGCAGCGTGATGTAACACACAGGCAACTCTCTCGGACCACCGCTTCCGGAAGGGCTGCGATGGCTTAGATACGGTGAGACACCACGCCGCCTGCGAACCTTGCAAGAGTGAATTACATCGAACCTTTTCGATCAAAGGGCTGGCAGAAGGGGTCTTTTCCGTTGTTGTCTGCAGGTGTCCAAGGCTGGCAAGCCACTAAGCCCCCACTGCACCAAAATTAAACATTCTGCTGTACGTCTTCGGCGCAAAAAGCTCAAGCCTTTGGCTGTGGAAATGCACCGCACGCCGCACTCGGTTGTCGCTCTGCGTCTCGCAAAAGTTGGAACTTCAAGGGGCCGATTCGGGTCGCTACATTGAAAGCCGTTGTTCCCATGATTCCCATGTCTTTCAATGGTCTTTGACTCTTGAACCTTGGGCTGAAGACTCTCGGGCTCCGCTGAGTATGTGCGAGTAAGCGTGCCGGGCTACTCTCAGATGAGACGAAGGTCCCTGCGAATGTCAGGGTCTTGCCGTCGGGCTCTCGGTGATTCGATCGTATGCCTTATCTTATTGGGAGCCATAGCAGCGTGAACCATACGGAATTCTCTTGAATCGCAGGATGTTGTATGGACAAGCTGGTGTGCCAGGTCTCGAATCCGACCTGCGTTTATTCTGCAATAGTTAGCCAGGCAAACCTGCATCCCCATGTCCACGCCACATGCCTTGACACAAGCAATACCCAATGTCCCGGTGGTGTCGAGGCCTTGCTTGCAAAAGTCCGGCTTCGAAAAGCTTTGCTTGCAATGGCTCTCAGTCGTGAGACTTGAGAAACCGCGGCGTTTCAAAGAGTTCTAGAAATGGAAGAGTTTGTAATGGCATGTCGGCATGTCATTCCCCTTGCCTGACTCGGCCTTGGCAACTCAGAAAAAACCACCAGATAGCCCTGCACTCACATTCCGTTTCTGCCCGGCACTTACATGATGCTTCCGTCAATGGCCCTTGCGCCGCAGGACGATCGTACGGCCTGAGGCGAAGGCATGCGATTCACACGTAAAAAATGTTGCGCTGTTTTCACAGATCTTCAATCACATCTCGTTCAATGGTGCCAGTGCAACCTGATGTTTCCGTTCGTGTCGCAGTACAGCTTCCTAATCCTCAGCCGCTGCCTGAAGGGCCACGGCTAATGCATTCCGAAATCTTCACAAATCAATGGGGGCAGAGACTCTTCGCTTGCCCACTGCGTTTCAACGCAATTACTCGGACGGTGGGCCTACGAAGCCGGTAGTGTCGCAGGGCTAACGTCCCCAAACTAAGGAGCTGTTTCGCTTAAGGCAGGCAGCAACAGAATGCCCACCACACCACCTGCCATGCCTTTTTTCGCTCACATGCAAGAGCAGAGCAAACATCATCAAGGCTCGGAGGGTATTTAAAGTCCAGAGCTGTTATTGGAAAGGCCAGCCCCCTGTGAACCGTGAAACCACATTCAGCTGAATGCCAAGCTGTTAACGCCAAAAGCCGAAGAGAGTGCGCACCTTGCATCTAGAACGGCTCGGACATAAAGGCCTGGTGCAGGGCCTCAGACGCATCAAAAGACAGGAAGGGTCGAAATGTCGTAGCTGCATACATGGCGCAGCAGGGAAATAATGCTTTGTTAGCCAAGAAGCGAGAATTTCATCTTCATTCTCCTTAGAGCATAATACGTGCGCTCTGACTTAGCATTTCAGACATGGAAAAAGTCGCTGGCAAGCAGCCGTGATTTGCATGATTGCTTGTGGGCGCAGGTTGCAGACACGGTTCAACGGTTCGGAACGGAAAAGAACCCATCACCCAAACCACAGGCAGGGAGGAGGCGACGGGTGTCAATGCAATGATCTGCTTGCGACCTAGAGCGAAGGCTATACCACAGCGACACGGGCCTCATCGGCAACGGAACGGAAAACTGCAACCTCTAGTGCAGTAACGATCACAAAATGCATGACAATGCCGCCGACAAACAGATGCAAGCGTACTTCTGCAGGTTTGCTAGCTGCTCGGCGGGCAACCCACTGTACTCCTTTCGGCCCCTTGCAGTGTAAAGTTGAGTAGGATGCAGCCGGCGTCACTGTCGGATCCCGGGAAGACCCGGGACAGCAAGTCGGGAACAAGGTCCAGTCTGTATCGCTTTCGGTCTCTTCATCGAACTACTCAGGACTTGCGATGGTGCCGCTCGGGTGCGGCTCAAAGTCTGAAACTTAAGAAATGCAAGAAACAGCTTCTCAAATTCCACGGAAGCTCTGGCAGCCGCATCGAAATGTCTTCATCTCCGAGAGCAATCGATGGCAGCCAGGCTTCAAGCACCTAGCACCACCTACCTGCTACCTTCGCCTTGTCTAGCATCACAGCAATCCTGGCTGCTGCTGCTATTGCGCGATGGTTCTCTTCACTGGTGCTGTTGCCCTCGTTCCTACCTCTTCACAGGCGAAACAGTTTTCAATTCTGGATGTCTCAATTTATGTCTCTCTACAGAACTAGTCCGACACCGAAAACACCAGTATAGAAAATGGTTGGAACATGTTGGGACTCCTGGCTGGTACTGCTCGCGCGACAGGTCCTACTGATGTTGCACTTGTCTTCCCACGATCATTACGATCACGTAACCGTTGATAAACTTGCGACAAATCCTTGCAGCACCTCTGTCTGTGAAACTTTTCATCAGCGCAATGGCGATTGACATCACACACAGCGTTCTACCAGGACTGCTGCTTCGATATGTAATCTGTCGCAATACACCCCTCATGGTCTGCTGAAGGCCAGGCCTGCAGCTGCGACTGCAACAAGGAACAAGTGGGCTCCTTCCGTTCAGGCCAGTGCAGGCTTCACTTGGGGTTTCGGGCAAGGTTCGGGCTTCGGCGCTCCGTACACGTCACGTTTTGCTCGCACACCCACCCACACGCTCGCCTACCCATGCACCCCACCCACACACGAACGCAAACGCAAACGCAAGCACGCACACAGACTCTGACTTTCAGGTAGCTACCGAAACTACACTACACGCCGTACCCACCAAAAGTCCCGGCCAAATTAAAGATCAGCGGCTATGCAATGAGACTGGAAAACGGAAGAGAAGCTGTCACATGTGTAACCCTGCATGCTTCCACACCTGCAAGATATTTGCCTCTATGTTGCCGCACCTCCAGCAGCTTGACGGTCTTCAGACGCAGCTCCTTCTGCCTCTGAGTCCTCGCTGCCAGCACTTGCGGACAATCCTTAGACCTACATCTGCATGGGAACTCCAGGGGGGGGTGGTGGTGTCCTTGAACTCGTTGGATTTACATGCTTGAAAGCCAAGTCGTGGAGAGCATCCCACTCGGCTTCGCCGTCACCTGGGCGCAAGAAGGCTCCAAAGCGCCTGTCGGCGCCTGTGGCATGTACGATCAACTTGAAGCTTTCTGGGGCAGTTGCTACGTTCGCAAATTGGACTAGCAAAGCCAAACATACGCATCAGATACGTCTTCTCCGTTGAACAAGATGTACAATACTCCGCGGTGCAGTCTTGCAAATTCTTGCAAACGCAGCTGCCGATGCTGATCAGATTTTTCCACGACTGACCGAAAACTCGCTTCACGGTCTTCTCCTCAGAGTGACACAGAGCCATCCGGGTTCTGGTTCTTCGAAGGCGAGTCGCATTTTGCATGTAAACTGCGGCAGACTTCTTTAATGCTGCACATGTTCGTTCGAAAAGCTTTCACTCATGTGCCATTCTGCTGACAAGTGTCCATAGCTTTCATTTTCTTCTGCATCTGCCTGATGCAGCGGGGGCACAAAATCTGGTATGCACGTGGCGATAAAGAACTGCCGATCGTGCGAGTTAGTCGGGACCAGACAGAAGTTGGCGAGACCCTTGGCAACATTTCTTGGGAGAGCACTGCTGTTTGAAGAGGTCGTCCTGCTCATTGACATCCTGGCGGCTCGCTCCGATCGCTGGGACATCAGAAGCCACCACCCACAGAAGAACCCCTGCAAAGCTGGTTACGGCACCTTGACGATGGCCCTCGCAGCCGGAGCAGAGCTGCCGTACCGTCTGCTGTCCGTCTCCTCTCGAAAATGTTCGGCTTTGGGCGGGGACTGCAGGAATGATCCGATGCTTCAATGCTTGCGTGGCCTGAGCTTGAATATGGCATGAAACGGTTCAATGTGGAGAAACCAAGCTGCGATCAAGTAAGACGGCCCCGAAAAAAGTGGCTGCAGCGGAGCAGTTCCGGTGAGTGCGGCAGGGTTTGGCTGCCTGCGAAAACATCTAAAACAAGCACGTACGCCGTGAAAAATCAAGCGATTTCAAGAGCGCACGTGGCTGTTACTGTGGTCTTGGCCCCAGGGGAATGCCTTGAACTGTCTTTTCATCAGCATTTGACAATTTTACTATTGCACATGCAGCAGAAATGAGAGCAGGCTTTGCCAAGGCTTTGCAGCAACTGAAGAAGTCGAACGTCCTGCAGCCCTCACAAAGGAAAGGCGCACAGAAGGTAGGAAAGGCACGCAGAAGGTAAATCAGCGGAGCAACAAGTTAGCATCAAACAGGAACGTGATTGTCCTCCACCCTCCCCCTTCCCCCGACCCCGAAAAAAATGAACCAAGAAAAAGCTACCGTCCTCACCCTACCGCCGACAAGAAACATGGAATAAGAACGTCATTGACAAAAAACACAGGAACAGCGGAAGCACAAAACAAGACTGTCATACCCTCCCCCCACCTCCCCCAATCGAGAAGAAAAGAACACAGGAACACCGGAAGCAAGAAACAAGAACGTCACGACAAGACCTCGTCGCCGAACCCCGTTTCAGGCTTCTGCAGAAAAGTCCATCTGCATAAACCCAGACGAGACGCAGTTTTCTGGCACTTTGCCAGGCGTGCGCAAAATTAACCCGGACCCCCCTTGCCGCCTCGTCTCTTCTTTCTCCCGAACAGGACCGCTTTGTGCAAAAGCTTGATACACCGCAAATACCATTGTGATTTGCCTTTCGGATAACATCGAAAACAACAACTGCTGTAAATAACGTCATTCAGACAACCGGTCCATCTCCACCAAAAGCATCCAAAAGCATAACACGCAACCGAACTAGCAAAAGCACTGTAAGTACCATTGAATTTCGCTCCGTCGCGAATCACGACATCCGACGACCCCCGAACACCCCCGGCGGAAAGCACCCTTCCCCGACGTCACGGTTGCGTACATGCCCAAACCAAGGCATGCCCACAAAACAAGCAAGCTTACCAGCCGAAGCTCAAGAAGAGGGCTGTTGAATCGGTCCTGGCTGGCATAGGCAACTTCAATGCCAAGGTCCTCCAAGACAGCAGCTGAATGAGGCAATGCAGCATGTCGGTCAATGAACTCATGCTCAATTTGCTTGTTTGTTGTGTCCTGCCAAAGCTCGTACAACTTCGGCATGAAGACCTCCACCAGCAAACCATTACTGTATGCTCGTCTGCACGCGCTGCAAAATGAGACGGGGATAGGGTGCAGACTTGCAATAATACAGTAGTGCATGTGCACTTACGGGGTTCCCGGCGCCTTTTTCATGGCAACTGGAGACTGACTCAGTCAGCCGAGTCGCGTGGAGAAACCGTAGGCCAGAGTGCCAACAGAGGCGGGTTAGCGGCCATTACAAAGTGCATTGTTCAACTCACCTGGGAGTATGTCGTTTGAAGTTAGTAATGTTCAGATACCGTTCGTTAGGTCCGTGTTTTGTCCTTCGCCATGTTGTTGAATTATGTCAAATACTACTCATGCTGCATACACAAACGCACATGTGCATGTGTATACACAACTGCGCACCGGTGACCAGCAAACGCGTGTTTAATCGCGCGCATGCATTCTTGAATTCTGTGTGCGTGTATTTATACGCACCTACTTCTTCAATCTCATCTAGTATCCATCCACGTCCGGGCCTGCCTGCCTTTATTGCCTGCTTGGGTGCCCAAATCCTTGAACATTCTTCCGCGCCCAACATCCCAGCATGGCTGGTTTCGACCTAGTTTGGCGTTTCCAGCTCGTCTTCTCCCAAGCACAGGTCGTAAGACATGCTGCTGAACCGGGACCACAACATGTACTAGGAACGCCAGTGATTGCCTTCTAGACTGGTATCCTTCGATGCCTGTCTCACTGCACTTCCAGCACGTGCTGACTCAGCACTTCCAAGTCCGCCCCGCCTTCATGGACACTTCTTGCCATGGAGGCTGTGCCAAGGTCACACAACAAACGTGGGCCAGGTCCTTACACTACAAAGTGACATGTGGAAGCCTTGAAACACAAAAGCCATGGGCTACACTATAGAAGCTGAGGCACCGAAGCTGTCGCAACAATCGCCCGAGCTGCCTGCTCCATGTCCTGCCGCCAAAAGCAATTTGCGGCGTGCATCCATGCAGAACACGATCAGCTGAAAACATATCAGTAGGATTCAACAGGCCTGGAGCATAGCCACATCTTTGGCATCCAAGTGTGGTGAAGCCTGCCGAGTTGATGACGGGTCTGTGGTGGCGGAAAAAAAAACAAGACTAAGCTCGATTACCAAGTATTGTTAGTCTGCTCCACATGGACGTGCCCGCACGAGCGCAATTTCGGCACCTCACTCCGCCAGGCGCCGCTCCGACACCAATCCTGGAAAGCCTGACGAAGACATCCACATGAGCAATATGTGTTGTACATTACACATACAAGCATGCCTGCTTGGATTCCAACCAAGTGGTTGGAAACAGCGTGTCGTCCCAGTCCTCTGCCAGACTCCACCATGCGATGCAACGGCGACTCTCATAGCTTTCCGTTGATTCTCGTTTTACATCGCTTCACCCTCAACAGGCCGCTTGCAGCCTCTCCATGACGTCCCCGCATTCATGGCGGCCCTAGCGGAAGCTCAAATGTAAAACCAGCAAAGTTGTAATCTTCTGACTCGGCTGGCACATGCTCGCACATTACAGATACAAGCCCCACTGCTTGCTTGCGTCGAATTACTGGTGTTAGCATGCCTGTGGCTCTGAAGGAAAGCAAACATTTCCTCCCGGGCGGCACCATGCACAAAGAAAAAATCCTAAGTCGCTTCCTTTGCAACCAAGGGTCCAAGAATATCAATGTGCAATCTGGTTGCTGCCAATTGCCGGAAGAAGTGGCAGCACTTCGCATTGATGAACAGCGGGATACAGGCATTGGGCAACAATCGCCTGCAACACCAAGCTTGCCGTAACAACATCACTGACTCCCACCGCAGATTCCACTCGGCCTACATCCAAACACGTCGCCGACTGTGGTGTCAACGTCGTGTTGTCCTGTCAAGCGCATCGTTTGGAAGTGCTTGCCACCGCTTTACAGTGTGACCTGGCATGGCACCGCATCCAAACAGTAAGTACAGGAGGCCAAACCATACCACATCATTCGGCAAGCGTCGGAATATGTCTTTGCATTGTTGTCAACCCTGCTATCATCCGGATCTCTGCTGAGCATTCCATAGGAGCCATCCTTGGAAGTGGCATACGGCAAATGTCAAGCTCCCTGCTCTGCATAGTGTTTGCAAAACAGCGGCCCACTTCTCGGTATCGATCAATGCGGGCTTCCGGATGTACATGGATTCGGACCTGTTCCGGGCTTACGTCCAAGGCCAACCCCCATGACCCCCCGACCTTGAAGAATTCGTTGGCAGACCACTGCGGGGGACAATATGGGACAATGTAGCTCAACATATGGACGACTGAGTAACCGTAGGACCCGTCTAGCCGACGGACGTCGGACTAAAAGTCATCGTGCACTGCGCATGCAACAGTATGCAAAAAATCGGAAACAACACACAAGTGTCATGAGAACATGCTGTCACATGGGCAGTTTCTCAAATCCGAGGCTAATTCACAACTTTGCTCCCTCGGACAGTCCGTAACATCTGAATCTGACGAGCCCAGCGGTGCCTTTGCCGCCCTGGGCCTGTATCCAACTCCAACTCGCGGTCTCCTTACACACATGCGTTCACTTGATGTGGGATGCCCCGTTCCATCGTTCGTTTCTGTTACTGCATGCTTCTTTCACAACTGCCCGCTTCACGACTCCCGCATACCCCAATGCAAAGAAACCAAAGGATGTCGCTAATGCGGATTGCTTCTCCATAGACGGCAGTGCTGGAGATGCGGACAGGAAGGTGCAGCGCAAACACGCACCTACCAGCAACTTGCAGTCGGTCGCCGTTGCAAACTTGTTGCACTTGGCCTGGAAGGCGGCGGCAGGTTCAGCCGAGAGGCCGTTGCATTCGCAGGCGTGTGCTAGCGAGTCGCCACGGCAGTTGTATATGTTGTATTAACGTCGATTGCCACATGCCCGTTCTCTGGGGAGCAATTGGAAAGCCATTCCGGCAGCGGCACTTGGCAGGTTTGGGGTCGTTGGGAGACGTCGCGCAAGACTGTCGGTGGCAGGGGGAAGCCTCGAGAGCTGCCCGCGCGGCCGACAGTTCTCCGAGTTGCGCGAGCTCGTCGGTCAGCCTGCCGTTGTGCATGTGTCCGAATCGACGGAGGCTGCAGGCCCTCCAGGTCTGGTTGGTGGTGGCACGCGGCGGCGTTGCTGTTGTGGCTCCGCTTGGGTGGCCAGAGCGGCCTGGCACACCTTTTACGATTGCGAACGTCAGGGACACAGGCAACCTACGTCGTGCTTTCAGGCGAGCTGGCTGGGAGGCGGCTGCTGGCGGGTGCCGGCCGCCAGCGTGCGTCAGCCAGCAGCTCGCGCAAAAGGGTCGGGTCACCAGCAGCACCGAGCGCCACGGTGGGAGGAAGCTCAGGCTCCCGACTCGAGGACGCCATTCCAGCGGTGCACCCCAGCTGCCTGAGCAGCGCGTCGCACAGCGGCAGGGGCGCCGGTTGCGCGAGCTTGTGCGGAAAGTCCAAGGAATGTCGCGCCTTCCTCACTCGTGCAAGTGACTGCTAGTGGGTCTGGTTGCGCCCGGCACTCTGCTGCACTGCACCGAGCTCGGGTGTGTGCAAAATGGTCCGAGGAAAAAACAAAACGGGATGCAGTCGGCGGCATCAGGTGCCCAGCGACCACCATCTTCGATCCCAAAAACAACCAAGCGGCGGCGGTGCGCAGTGCTGAACTAAACAAACGTTGCCAGCGCTTGTGCCTAGCGGCATTGGCAAGCGCCACTGGTGTGCTAGCTGTGGACAAGGACGGCGGCGAGTTTCACGAGTTGCAAATGGTTAGTTCGATGTTGCTCAACAACTTCGTCAATAGGTAAACTTGCCGGACATTTCAGCGTCGCGCTGTTTGCGGGGCCAGCGATATGCGAGGTCACCAGAGGCGCCCCAACCCGAAACACAAACACCAAGGAAGCGCCATTCGACGGCAGCACCTCTAACGCAACGACATGCTCCTGGAAATGTGGTGTTCTTTCTTCAAACACCTTTGACGATTTCGCAAAAGAGTCCGGGCCCCCGTGCAACTGCAAACTATTATTGCCCGCGAAAGTCGGTGCAATGTATTCGGTAAGTCAGAAATACGGTGGATGGTAAAAATCCTGCATGACCTGCCTCAT